AGCGGCGGGCGGCGGCAGCCCCGGCCCGGCTCGGCCCAGGCGAGGGGACTATGCGGGGCTGCCCCGGCGCGCACTGTGCGGAGCCCGGCGAGCGGCCGATCGCCGCGGCGCTGCCCGGCCGCCCCTACGCGGCGGGGACCGGAGGAGACTAGAGGCGACTTTGCGAGGAGCCCGGTGGCTTCGGCAGCCCCAGAGACCCAAGTCCGGCGCGGGCTCTTGAGGAGGAATTGACAACATGGCTTCCCCACCGCACCAGCAGCTGCTGCATCACCACAGCACCGAGGTGAGCTGCGACTCCAGCGGGGACAGCAACAGCGTGACGGTGAAAATCAACCCTAAGCAGCACCAGGGCTGCACCTCTTCCAAGCATTGCAAGTACAGCATCTCCTCCAGCTGCAGCTCGGGGGAGTCGGGGGGCACCCGCCGAGCCGGCGGAGCGGGCGGCAGTGGCTCCGGCCTCCGGCGGCCGAAGAAGCTGCCGCAGCTCTTCGAGAGGGCCTCTTCCAAGTGGTGGAACCCCAAGTTCGACTCCAACAACCTGGAGGAGGCTTGCATGGAGAGATGCTTCCCGCAGACCCAGCGCAGGTTTCGCTATGCCCTCTTCTACATTGGCGTGGCCTGTCTGCTCTGGGGCATCTACTTCGGCATACACATGAGAGAGAAACAGATTGTTTTCATGGTGCCGGCTCTGTGCTTCCTCCTGGTATGTGTAGCTTTTTTTGTGTTCACTTTCACTAAGACTTATGCCCGCCATTACGTATGGACTTCGCTGATCCTCACCCTCCTGGTGTTTGCTCTGACCCTCGCTCCGCAGTTCCAGGCTCTGAAGCCTGTCTCAGGAAGTGGTGACATGTCCAACCGGACTCTCCCGGCAGATCCCACAGACACTTGTCTGTCACAAGTGGGCAGTTTTTCTATGTGTATTGAAGTGCTCTTGTTGCTTTACACAGTGATGCACTTACCCCTGTATTTAAGCTTGTTTCTGGGACTGTCGTACTCGGTCCTCTTCGAGACCTTTGGTTATCACTTCCGTGATGAGAACTGTTTCACACCTCTGGGAGCTGGTGCGGTTTACTGGGAGCTGTTGAGTAAAGCCTTCCTGCACATCTGCATCCATGCCATCGGTATTCATTTATTTATCATGTCCGAAGTCAGATCAAGAAGCACATTCCTGAAAGTGGGGCAATCCATCATGCATGGAAAAGACTTGGAAGTGGAAAAAGCCCTGAAAGAGAGGATGATTCATTCTGTTATGCCAAGAATAATAGCCGATGACTTAATGAAGCAGGGGGATGATGAAAGTGAAAACTCCATCAAACGTCATTCCACCTCAAGCCCCAAAAACAGGAAGAAGAAGCCCTCCATACAGAAAACCCCCATAATATTCCGTCCCTTTAAAATGCAGCAGATAGAGCAAGTGAGCATTTTGTTCGCAGATATTGTTGGCTTCACGAAAATGAGCGCCAACAAATCAGCCCACGCCCTGGTGGGACTCCTGAATGACCTCTTTGGACGCTTTGACCGTCTGTGTGAGGACACTAAATGTGAGAAGATCAGCACTTTGGGAGACTGTTACTACTGCGTGGCCGGCTGCCCCGAGCCCCGGGCAGATCATGCCTACTGCTGCATCGAGATGGGCTTGGGCATGATCAAAGCCATCGAGCAGTTCTGCCAGGAGAAGAAAGAAATGGTGAACATGAGAGTCGGTGTGCACACCGGGACAGTCCTGTGTGGCATTTTGGGCATGAGGAGGTTCAAGTTCGATGTGTGGTCCAACGATGTCAATTTGGCCAACCTGATGGAGCAGCTTGGGGTGGCTGGGAAGGTCCATATTTCGGAGGCTACTGCCAAATATTTGGATGATCGCTATGAAATGGAGGATGGAAAGGTGGTTGAGCGTGTCGGTCAGAGCGTGGTAGCTGACCAGTTAAAAGGTACGTGCTTTTGTTTTGGGCTTGTTTTTCTTTTGTGAGGTAGCAGAGTTGCCCCGGTGCCTGCTCTGTGCTTGCTGACCGTGTTTTACATGTAACTCAGTGTGCTGATGATCACAAACACCGGGGGAATTGCAGGATAAAAGATGCCACAGAGATAAGCCCGAAAGATCATCTGTGGTACTCAACATAGGCTTTGAAACTCAGCGCTCCTTCTGAGCCTGTTGCCTTGTAGGGAGGAGAAGGTTCATGTGTTTGCTGTCTGCAAGAGGTTTTTGTTTTACTGTTGTGTGTCATCCTTTAATTCAGTAAGTAAACTTGTTAATTGACTTCATGTGCCATACAGAGAGCATATGTGTTTTGCAAAATTATGTATATCTGTGAAAAGGTTTTTTTGGCATCAGGAGAGTTGGGACTGAGAAGGCATTTGGGAAAAATGACAGCTGGATTCACAGAAAGAAATGAGCACTGTAGATTTGGCAGTTTGATATGGCAAGTTGTTGCAGTTTGGAGTTAGGCTGGAAAAAGTTACTCAGGTGGCTCAGTGAGCTGGCAGATGCTTTCATTTCTGCAGCTCAAGGGATCTGGGGATGAAATGGCAAATTTGCCTTTTGGAGAAGAAAATGAAGGATCCTTCAGTTCCCCTTGGTTAAGAGTCTGATTTTCATTTTTCTACAATGTTCATTTTGAAGTGAAACTCCTGGCTGCTTTCTAGCAGCACTTAGAGGCGTGTGCAGGGGGATTGTACGAGCTGAGGATTTAATTGTCTCTTTGTCAAAGCTGTGTCTCTTCAGTGCCGTGCCTTTGTCTCACAGAGAGATTGTTGTCTGCAGTGCTCGTAGTCCAAGGTGGGGAGCAGATGGATCTAAATGGGAGGGGAATATGTAACAAACCCTGTTATGGTCTGTGAGTTTATTCGTTCTGCTTATAAAAGTACCCATTTTGATGAAGTAAGCTGGAAAACTGAATGGAAGAACCCGAAGGAGTCATAAATTGGCATTGTGATGGAGAAAGGAGATATTTGTGGCAACAAACACGAAAGGAGGCCGGGATGGTGGTGGAAAGGTCAGTGAGTAAGGACGTGGGGAGAGCACTGCAGAGCAGTGGTGGCAGTGGCAGCTGCTTGCCCCTGGCAGGTGCTTGTTTTGATGTGACACAAAAACTTATTTTTGGTGAGCGAGCTGTCCGCATGCATACGGCAGCGGGGCTGCAGCAGGAGCCTCCCAGCAGGCAACGACATCCCCAGTGACATTGGTGCCTGGGAGCCACGGGCTGAAGCAGATGTGTGTCCCTGGGCTTTGGCTTTCTGGTTAGCTTCTAAAAATACAAATTCAGTTAATTTCTTTGGAAAGTGTTGACACTGATGTATTTCAGTGGGAGTGTGCTTTCAAGAAAACAGCATCAGACATAACCTCGTTGTTACTCTAAGATGAATTTTGCTGTTCTAATGGAAATAAATGGAACAGGTTGTAGGGAAACATCCCTGTGATACTTCTCCCTTCCATGTACCTTTACAGCCAAATGCAGTGTGAAGGCTGTGTTGTAGCAACAAATAAAATTCCGTATTTTTGCTGCATTTGTAACTGTTCTCAGTGTTAATCCCGAACTGACATGAACTTAGCTGTGGAGACTGATGGTACTGCTCCTAAATATTCTTTATTTCTTTATATTTTCTAGGAGATCACAAGACCACTATGTAGAGCAATTATACCACATGCCAGCAGTGGGTTTTTCATGGTCTTTCTCAGACTTGTGTTCTGTCCTTGGTTGCCATTTATCATGAGAGGGCACAGGCTGCTCTGCCTCCTTAGTAAAGAGGTTTGGATTTTGCAGCTCTGAATGCCTTTCACAGCTCCTGCTTCAGCCAGGGTACTACAGATGGACAAACTGACATGCAGTCTAGATAAGATGAAATTTGCTTTGTGAACTGACATTTAATGGTCTCTTCCTACCCTGAAATGCAGCTATGAAAGCAGCTGGAGCATGTGGTAAGAATTACTTTAACAAGGAATATGGGTTGGGCTTTGCTTTTTCCCCCATTTCCCTTCTGTATTTTTTGGTGGAACTGTAATCAGCTGCCATTTCTTACCAGTGTCTTACGCAGTTACAGAATCAGAGGCTGTGTATTTGTAAGCCAAGCAGACCTTTGCCATGACTGCCCTTAGCCACAGGTTTGTAGCACACTTACTCTGTTCCCTTCCATGCCCAGACCCTCAGGGGATGTGGTAGTTAGTGGGTGCCTCAGAGCTGCCCATTTTTCCTGTTTCCTCAGAACTTTGTTCTGCAGCCAGATTACTCAGCTTATAGGTAAATGCCATCAGGGGAAAAAATACATCAAAGCCAATGATAAAAGCCATCAAACAGCAGTGCCACGGGCTGGTGTGTAGGATCTGCTGCAGGGGAGGGTTTTGTTAGGGAACAGCTCTGAGTTTTAATAAGGGAAACTGAGATTTCACCTCCTAATTAATTGATCTCTGCCAAGCACCTGCTCTGTTCTGTGAATAGAGGTGCTGTTTGGAGCTTTGCTTTGCTGTTTTCCCTGAGAATCTGTTGATAGTAGTGATAGAGAAGAGGAAGTTTGTAGTGGTTGTTTAATTATCTCATACCCTGTACTCTCTTCAAGTGTAAAAGTGCTGTACAGATAGCAGACATAAGCTTTGTTTCCCTACCAGTACTTCAATTCTCAGCTTCCTTTCAACCTTTGATATCTTAATTATATCCTATTTTTTACGCTGTATGTCTAGTGTATTATCTCTTAATTGTCTGAGCTGCAGCAGTCATAGCTATCTTTGAGGCTGAGTCAACAGGAGCAAGTAAACTCTTCAAAGAGCAAAAGCAGGAGGTGCTGAGCACACAATGTCCACGTTCTGCACACTTCAGGTCTTCCACCTAACAGTGCTCCTGGAGCAGGTCTTGGAACAAAAGCACCTCTGTGGCTGGAGCAGGTCAGGCGTGCTCCTGGAGCCAGTCCTTGGCTTGGTTCACCCTGAAGGAATCCAGGTACAGCTCTCCAGCATGCACCAGAGCAGGGGGTGGAGGAGTCACTTGGGCAAAGTG